AAGAAAATTTTGTCTGTTACAGACAACTCATATATGAATTGTCTGTGACAGACAAAATTTTCTTAAGAGACAGACGAGTGTACACAAAATGTGTACACAAAGTGTGTACCTCTAGCATAGTGAACTAGCCGCCGTCTGGACTATAGACATCTAGTGCTTTGGTCTACGTGCAATTTGAATATTGAAATATTGAATACCTTAAGCACTTTATTTTTACCTCAGAGACCGGGCTTGAGGCAACGAACATCGGGTTTTAGGCATTTACGTTTTAATTGGACTTTTTGAATTATAATGCGTATAAATACAATTTATACGTGTATTATACATTTAAGCATATAAATACGCGTATTTTAACGAATTTTTTAAAAATACTTAAACGGACAATTTATACGTGTATTATACGTTTAAGCATATTATACATGTATTATATTATACGCGAATTAACTAACAAAGAGTACTACTCCCCACAATTGCTTTTAGTTTTTTTTGACAGAATTGCTTTTAGTTAATTTGTAAATGATAATTACATAAAAAGGCTTTGGTGGTGGTGATGTCATCTATTGGTCAGTGATAAGTTCGTATTTAAACACGCATTTGATGCGTGTTGGAGTCGGATTTTGATGATTTTTCTAGCTTTTGGGTGTCATAAGTCTCAATTTTAGCTCAAGTCATGTTTACCGAGCGTGGGTACGAGTTTTGGTATTTTCAGGGTTGGAATCAGGTTTTGGGAGCCCGACATCGGCATTTGAGAAGTGATTGGGATGAGTTAAGAAGCATTCGAGAGTGAATTCGGAGTTCTGGAGGCCACCGGAAGGTTCACGATGAGGTTTTGATGAAGAAATAGCTATTGGATCGATCGAAGGGCCAAACGGAGACTTAAAACGAAAGAAATCGAAGAAAACGGAGAAGAAAGGCCACGCACGGCCGTGCGTACAGGGACGCACGGCGTGCGTGGCAGTAGCGGCCAGGAACAACAAAGAGCAACGCACGGCCGTGTGTCCGGGGAAACTACTAGCAGCAACACACGGGCGTGCGTAGGGGAACGCACGTCGTGCGATGCCCGATTTTGCGCGCACGTCTGACGGACGCACGAACCAACGCACGGCTGTGCGTAGGTGCCTTGCGTACCCCGTTTCAGTCCTATTTCGACCCAAATTCGTTGTTTTCTATAAATAAGGCCTCCCTAACCCTTTTTGGGGGTTACGAACATTACGGAGAGGCCTAGAGACGAATTTAACACCGTTTTTACGCTATTTTCTTCCAAGACCCTGGGATTATTTGTAAGTTCAATTATTTTAATTAATGACAATTTATTCTATTCATATCAATTCTGTTGATTCTTCAATTATGAATAGTGAGTAGTTTAATTAGGGATTTGGGATTGATGAAGGGGTTAATCATGATGTATGGCTAGATCCTTTTCGGTTTAATTGCATGAATGTCGTTTAATTTGTGTTTGAATAATTTAACTGATATCTCTTGTAACCTAGACTGCAGATAGAATTACAATTGCATGTAGAATAAATTAAGAGAGATCTAGGACACATTCACACACACTTAATCGTTCGCTAAGAGATTAGTAGCGATTAAGGGGCCGTAAGCTCGCCCGGTTAGGCAATAATTTAGGATCCTGTCGCATGAGAGATCAGCCTGGTCCCCTAAATTATTGTATTCTAAGCCGCGAGAGCGGTAAGAACTTAGTAATGATTAGCTAGGCTCAATTAAATTAAATTAATGTAATTAGGCCCGATCTGCCAGAAATCTGGTTAACCTCGGAATCAATTCCTGCTCCCTTCGTCGTTAATTAAGGAAAAACCAATCTTTTTACTCGCTCATTAGCATTAGTTTTATTTTACTCAACCAACCAATCTCGCACAATTGCATTTTATTTTATTTATTTCTTGTAAATCGCTGAATTTAGTTAATCTTTAAATCCCTTTTGTCCGTCCCTGTGGAGATGATACTCGTACTTTCAACCACTTTTCTACAACCATTTTAAGTGCGAGAAAACTCACATCAGTCAGTTGAAGGAGTTTAAGAGAAGAAGCTTGTTTCTCCAACAACAAAAACAAAAAATATGTCTTGTAGCTTTTTGTAGTTGTTTTACACTTCTATTACTTGGAATATACAAACGTTTTTTTTTATACCGGAAGGCAAACCACCCATCGGTGGGGCAAATGCCAGGGAACATTTGCCAGTGTTTTGTTAAATATAGAGAGGTACAAAAAGGAGAGGGGGGCCAAACCAAAACATCCCTACAGAGGCATTCCTCTATAAAAATACATGAAAGAAATAAAAAAGAAGAAAAATTTTGGGAGCTATGCGTGACCCAAAATTAAAAATACAAGATTAAAGGCGTAAAATAGGAAATCCAAATAAACCAGCATAATAACTCTTCCTAATAGTATTGGGCAATTGTCTGACATAATTGTAAACAATGCATTGGGCCAATTCAAGACGTTGGGCAGCTGGATAGTGAGCTGGCCCATTACATTCTCTGAATACATTTCCGAAAGAATATCCCATCTCTGCTGCCTTCCTCCTGAACTCAGTTAGGTTTCCTAATTCATTAACCAGAGAAATCAATCGGCTTGCATCACCTTCCACCCTTATATCGAGGAACCCTTCTTCCATCGCAAGCTCCGAAGCGAAGACCAGAGACCGAAGCTCGGCCTCTTCACTGTTGCTTACATTGATTCGAAAAGAGGCCACCCAAACTAACTTGCCAGAACTGTCTCTGAGGATAGCTCCTCCCACTGCTAAACCAGGTATAAAGGAGGCATCGACATTTAATTTGAAACCTTGCTTAGGCCTTTTCCACTTCAATACCTGAATTCCTGAATGAGCGAACTTAAAATTAACCGGCATCAGATTCTCCTGGATTAGAAAACTCTCCACAATCCTCCGTCTGAGTTTTGTTAATGTGCAGGACCAGTTATGTGTATATAGCTTTATCTGGAAGATAAGATTTTCTGGAGTAGGAATAGTGTTCGAACCCCATGTAGCAGATGAATAGACCTTCCAAATATGCCAGGTTATAATACCGGGAATATTATGTTTGAAAATATCAGCCATGGTTTTAGATCCAGCCTCAATCCACCAAAGCATCATAATTTGCTTAATAGAAGCATTAATTGGCATTTTGATTCCAAAAACATCCATAAATACTGCTAGATTCTCTTTGTATAACAGCAACCAAAAAAATATGTTCAGCAGATTCACTCTCCTTCTTGCAAAGTTTAGTTCTATTTAGGGTAATTTCTCTTTTACTTTCCTTCTTTGAATATTAAATCAATTAATATACTAATCATTACAAATTTTTAAAAAATATGTTTTGAATTTAAATATTTACATTTCCTCTTTCATTTATTAGAAACAATGACATACCAATGTGATAATTTTGGAATTTTTCCAACGTTGCTAAAAAATTTCTCAATATTAAAAGTAACATCAATTCTAAAATAATTTTAATTTTGTAAAAAACGTCACAATGGGAAACAATAACAATGTTAAAGTAAAGGAAAATATCACAATGTCGTAAAAATGTCACAATGTTAAAAATGTAACAAATTTTGACAACATCACTTACCGTGTAAGAAAGTAAAGGTTGCAATTGGGCCTGTCAACGGGTCAGATACGGGCCGGAACTATAAATTCCATATCCATATCTGTTGAAAATATTTTGGTCCAGATCCGGACCCATTTACCCTTCGGGTCCAAAACATATGCTCCAGATTTGGATCCGGCGGGTCTCGGATCCGGGCCAGGTATACCCACAAAAAAACTAAGTAACATGCATATGCAAGCAAATAAAATATATAACAAAAAACTGTTCATTTTGGAAGAGATCATATATAAATAAGCAAAATGTTTTTATGCCATTATAGTTGGCCAACCACTAACTAAGCCTACACATATTAAAACATTTTTTTAGATTTGATTATAATCCTTATTTTATGTTTAAATATTTCTATGTATATTGTGTGTGTATATGTAAAACATTATAAATATAATTATATCATCACAGGTTGGGTCCAAAACGGTCTGGAACTTAAATATTCATTCCCGGCCCGTTTTCTCTATCATGTAACGGGTTCATATCCGTATCCGGGAAACGGTTCTAAATTTAGACACATACCCTCAAAAAAAGTGCCGGATTCGGATCGGGTCCGGATCTAGACCCAACCCATTGAAAGACCTAGTTGCAATGTCAATGATATAAAAATTGTCTATAATAATGACAACGTTAGTGCCGATGTCAATAAATGTCATAATAATGACATTAGTAATGTCATTGTAACAATGACAATGTCAATGACTATCGTGATAATGCAATGCTATATAAAAAAAATATAACAATGCCAATGTTATAAAAATGATATTGTTTTTATTGACAAAAATTAAACAATGTCGCAATGGCAATGACAATGACAATGTTAATGATATAAAGACATTGTTAATGATATTGGCATAAAGACAATGCAATGAGATTGACAATGTTATTGCAATGACATTCATGACATTATATGATGTCATTTTTTGAGAATTACTATCATTGTATGAAACCAAAATAAAATAGAAAGTGAGTAAAGAAAATAAATAAAGTGATAGCTAATATTATCATTATTAACAACATGGCATTGTTCACTACATTATTTATAAAAATGAGAAGTTGATAAAGTCATTATGTGATAACGTAGGATAATATCGTTGTTTGAAAAATAATATCATTGTAAGAACAAAAATGTGAATGAATGTATGTCATTGTCTCTATATGACAACATAATATAATGTCATTGTTTAACGGTCATTGTCATTATATGACAATGTGATATAATGTCATTGTATAAAAATCAATGTCATTAAGTGACATGAAGTATGATAACAATGTAGTAATGTAGTATGGTGTCATTGTATAAAAAACAGTATTCTTATATGACAATGTAAGTAATGTCATTGTTTAAAATCCAAGTCATTGTTCAGAAATGAACAGCATTATATGATAATGTAAGATGATGTTATATTTCAATAATCAATGTCACCGTTTAGAAAGCAATGACATTATATGACAATGTAATATAATGTCTTTGTTTAAAATTTAATGTCATTGTTTAAAAGTCAGTGTCATTATATGACAATGTCATGTAATTAATGCCATTGTTTTAATCAATGTCATCATATGACAAAGTAAAATAATGTGATTACGATGTCATTAGAGGTCGCCACGTCCACTCAAAATTGGCTTGCCCACGTATGCCACAATTCGTGTAACTGCCTTTTCACTGAAATAGTGCAGATGAATATCTGGCAATAGGATCCAAGTCAGTAAACGCCTCAATGGCAGATGGACATCGAAATCCGATGTCCAGAATGACATTGTGATGTAGTAATCAAAGATTTTGAATGGTTCACCATATGCTGCCTTGAGGTAACCCGTCTTTGATTCAAACTGAACAACATAACAATAGTTTGACATGTCTGTGACCTGAATTGCGCCAGTAACCGCCCATAGCGATTCAAGTCTTCGCTTGATAGCCAGAAAATAGTATGTTTTCTCAAACACACTCACACTGAGGGCCTTGGACCATGGTTTGAAGAAATACGACATTTCTTCTTTAGAAAAGGCAACCCTAGGGCAGCGGGGATTCTCCTCCTTTGTCAGTTTACAAGAAGTTGGGAGATTTCCTCGTCTGCCGCCATGAACCATTCTGGTTGGCCAAGGACTGCTGCACGGAAAGACTTCGGTGGGTTGGGAACATTGTTGTTAGGGGGGTCGATTTCAGCTGTTGTGGTCTCTCAATGTCGTCCAAGATGACTGTCTCGAGGCAGCGACTGCACTTCCTTGAAATCAATGTCAATTCGGTGACCAAAGCACTTGTGTCATCAACAAAAGTCTGTGACTCAAAGCTAACGCTGGGAACATGTTGTTCTCCCTCTGCCCTGCTCATCTTTTGCGTTCGAGGCAGGTGAGGCAGTGAAGAGTGCGACGGAGCAAGGCTGCGATAATAGAGACGTAGGCCCTGTACCTGGAGTTATTAGGCAATGGCGGCATCGCGCGGCGGCTGCAATCTAGGCGCGCTCGTCCTAGGGCTTAGCAGCGACAGGACTCTGATGGGACCCCTGCTCTGGTATGCGACTTCTCTGGCGGTCGTCCTAGGGTTTAGCAGCGATGGGTGTCGTCAATTTTGGGAGAAGCGACGGTCGCATCGACCATCCCATTGGTCATTTTTATTATTAAGGAAATAAGTGTTCTACTTTTGAAAAAATACTTTTTTTTTTTTGGGGGGGGGGGGGGGGGGCATGCGTGAATGTATTATAAGTAGTAGTATTGACTTTTGACTCGAAGCGTGAACGTTTGTTGTCCCAAGGCCCTCTAGCCCTCTAGTGAATGTAGCTTTATTGTCACATGGGCTAAATGAAAAAAAAGTTGCAATATATTTAAAAAAAAACTAATTTTCAGTTTTCACTCGTCGTTTATTAAAAAAGACAAAATGATTCTACAACATGCGATCGGGATGTTAAAAACTAAGAGTTGTTTAAAAAAATTGTCATTTTATCTCAAATTTAAAACATTTAAACAAAATCCAAATACAGCTAAATACCAAAATTGAATTGTGAAAATCAACAAGGAAAATTAATTCAAACTCAAGGAGGTGTTTACTTCGCTGCTAAAGTCACAGTTAGGTTAGTAAGACAGGTGAAGTAAACACGCAAGCTGCTTAAAAAACTGCTTACTAACCGAAAGGGGTGCTTAAAGTGCCGCTTACTAAGCATACCATCCCACATGTATATATTAATTAAGCGGCATTTTAGGCATTTTCAGTTACCGAATGTACACTTACCCCTTACCCTTACCCTATTGTTACCCATCTACCCGCTACCTCGACTCACCCCTACCCTACCCTACCCAACCTTATCTTACCCTTACCCCACCCTCGTACATCCCCTTACCCCTACCCTATCCTACTCCCCGACCATTACCCCACCTCACACCCCACACCACGTTACCCCTTTACCCTACCCCGACCCTAACCTTTTACCACATGCCCTTGCCTATGCCCCACCCTAATCCTCACCCCTACACCTTCCATCCCCACACCCTCTACCCAGACCCTACCCCCTACCACATGCCCTTACCTCAGCCCCACCCGATCCCGACCCCACCCTATGTACCCGTACCCTTTAGCCCTTACCACCCTACCCACCCCCACCCATAACCCTTACCCTACCCCAAATGCCCCTACCTAGGCCCCACATCGATCCCCTAGCCCTTATCACCCTACCCCACCCCACCCCACCCCGTAACCCCTTACCCTACCCCTAGCCCTAACCACCCCTAACCCCATACCCCCGACCATATACCCCTTACCCACCCCCACTCATAACCCCTTCCCTATCCCTTATCACCTTCCCCTACCTCGACCCCACCCTACCCCTGATCATTTATCCAACCCCCCACCTTGTACCCCCTTACCTATCCCGACCCTACCCCTTTACCCCATACCACCCGAGCTTACCCCGCCCTAGCCCCGACCCCACCCCTACAAGTAGGGTAGGTGTTAGGGGTATGGGTATGAAGGGTTGTAGGGGAGTAGGGGTAGAGGGCAAGGTCGTGGTAAGGCTAGAGGTAGGGGTCAAGGGTGTGGAAATGGGGGTAAGGTGTAGGAGTAGGGGTTGGGGTATGGGCTATAGGTGGGGTATGGTATGAGGTACGAGGTGACCCAGTGACCCTACATATTATATTATATACATGTGTTCATGAATGTTTATGTGTCTATATATGTACAGGGTAGCTTTAGACATTTTATTGTTAAAAGGTATTTTAAATCCTTTGAAGTAAATATGAGCTTACAACACTGCTCATTTTATGCGTCACTTATTAACGTGAGTCTTAATAAAAATCGTTTAGTAACCCGTGAAGTAAACATGTCCTAATTTTTTTTGGCAATTCCTCTAACCTATTATAGACTTATAGTATATGTTTTATGTTAAGATCAATATCCTTGAACTGATATGAGATTTGAACATGTGACCCCTCTTTGAGAGCGTCACAATGATGTCAGCAGACCGGAAGGTAGATGGCAATTCAAACTCTAAATCTATTAACTACATTTCCAATCAACGAATATAATATTGAAATGAATAGAAAAGCTATTGTTGTGAAAAAATCAATCATGGAAGCATATTAAATATATGGTGATTTTTGAATATATTGAAGTAATGTACTTTAGTACTACGCTACTAAATGAGAAAATTATTATTTTAAATAACATGATTTATATAATATTGAAGATTTTTTGGAAGAAGATGGCTTATATTAATAAGAACGAAAGTAAGCAGGATACAAACCGACAAAGAGCTCATTGCCTACCGTCTGCCCTTGAACCAGACTTAGAACCTGCCACATCATAAGAAGCAACCAGATTCGTTGATCCTGAATTGGGCTTACTTGAGCCAATGACTGATAAACCAAGCCCTCTATCGCCTGTCCTATGTTCTAGAGTCTTGACATAAGTAAAAATAACAGCAAACAAAAGTACTCGATGACCAAAGCAAAAACCAACAAAAAGAAAAACCAGTCTAAAATTTAAAGTGACTTCATAACTCCAATAGCCCCAGAGCTTCACAGGTTTTGGCGGGTCTGAGAATCCCAGCCCGCCTCTTCCCTATTTTTTGCGCCATCTAGAGCCATGACATCCTCTCCTGGTTGCTCCTGCTCCTGCTCTTGTGCATCCCAGGTCCTCCTCCTCTTCTGTTCTCCCGTTCCACTGCTAGTGGGACTTGCTTCCTCAGGCTTCGACCCTTCCCCTTTTTCCTGAAGCTTGATCTGCATATGATTCTGGCCCTGATCCTGCTTTTCATTGGGGTACTTTTGCACACCCATAATTCCTTTTCCTACCCCTCCGTCGTTAACTAGCCATTTGCTTCCCAAAGAAGGACGGGGTCGCCCTCCTCCTGCCCGTAACCAAGGGCCAAAGGGTCTCACAACCGCTTTCTCACCTTTCTCATACAATAAGGGGCAGAATTTTTCAGCATGTCCTATAATTCCGCAAGCAAAGCAAAAACTAGGAAGTTTCTCATATCTGAAGTCCACCCACTCCCTTTCCCCTTTTCCTTTTTTCAGATTTATACCAACCTTTAGGGGCTTCCCCACCTCTAATTTGACCCTAACTCTCATATAGGCCTCCCGTTTCTCATCAAACTGATTATCATCCCAAGAAATAAATTTCCCCAAATAGTTCCCTATTTTACGGGCATTACCCTGATTAGAATATCCATAGGGGATATTATACACTTGTACCCAGAAATCAACTGTATCAAGAGGAACCTTTAGGGCATATCGCCCTGCTCAATAGCTTTTAAAACTAACAGGTTCTCGTCAAACAACCAAGGTCCTTCATTCAACACACGATTCCTATCAATAACATGATAAAATGTAAATAGGTACCTCTTCTCCCCGATCTCTTGAATCAGAACACCCTTACCCGGGCACCACAGGGACGCCATCCGGTCGTGAAAGAATTGAAACTTTACCACTTTATCCGTGAGGATAGTACCAACGACGGGGAAACTTTCCACCGCTTTGCTCGCTGCCGCAGGGTCTTTCTCTGACTCCTCGTCATCTAACAACAATTCTTCCTCTGAATGCCCCAAACCCATGCCTCCATACGGGCCGATCAAGGACTCCACGCTCCCAACATTGGCTGCCTTCATCAGATCTCCTTCATCTTCCTGGAGAGCGCCCTCCGTCTGAGGAAAGCCTCCGTCGCGTCCCAGCCTACCTCCCTGTGAACTCGCCGCCATCGATGATTCAATCGAATTCTTCACCGCACGAAAATGGCGGATATGCGAACCCTACTATGAGGGAGAGACTGCCCTAACTTCATTATATAATATTGAAGTTGATTACTGTATATAGTAATTTGGTGATTTTTGAATTACTCTTTGTTTGGTTAATGAGAAACAAACGGGTTGCCTCCTGCCCAATGGTTATGGGTAAAAATAGGGGTGGGCATAAAACCCGAACCGAACCGGTATCGAGCCGTCCCGTAATGGTACTGAACCGAATACCAGGTATTTAAACGGTTCTATAGATTTTTGTCTTGTACCAAAACCGAACCGTTTGAAACGGGTACGAGACCGGTTCTAGATTTTGAGAACCGAAAAATACCGGACCGAACCGTTCGAAAATAATGCATTTAAATTATTTATAATTTTTCTATACCAATAGATCTCTTTTATAGACACACAATTTTAATTTATAGCCGAAATATGTATTCATGCGTTCCAAACTAGCTAAGTGTGTGTGTTTATATATATATTGTTATTTTTTTATTTTAGATAATTTATGTTATATTTTGATATGTATTCAAAGAATGTTAAAATTTAGAAATCATTAAGGACTATTCATTTCTAGTAATGTAGTGTACATGACTTTTTGTGATATCATGTTTGTGCAATTTTACAACTTAATTAATATGGTTTAAATCTTAGTTCTCAATATTCAACTATAAATTAAATTAGAACTCTGGAGTAATACTTAACCTAGAACGAAGAAGAAGAACATTAAAAATTTCTATTATATTCAACAATTTGATGATATTCTTTTTTATATTTTCACATGAACTTAGTAAATTAAAGATGACGTTTATCTCGTAGATCATCGTTTTGCTATACCTTTTTCTGAGTTGTGTTGCACTGTTTGTGTATTTGTGAATTTTAGTACTACATATGCAATTTCTTGTATTTATATCAACATTTCATGTGAGTTGGATTGGTGTGAAGATATCTACTAATTGCAAGATTTGTTCAAATTTTTTAGCATGTATTTGGCATTGTACCGTACCGTTTTGTACCGTTCCGAAACGGCATTGTACTGAACGGTTCCATCCTTGAAACCGGACCGGAGCGTTAAAAACCTAATGAATACATTACAAGTTTTACTAGTTTACCGGACCGCGCCCAAAAGACAAAATTTCGGCCCGATCGGCCCATTTGTGCACAAAATTTGATGATGTTGAACAAATGAACAATACAATAGCAAAACACGGCCTGTGCAAAGGATCTGGTGGGCGCAACCACACTAGACAATAGTGCACCCGTCGTATGCGCCAATACCCTAGTGACAATGATAATCCATAAATAAACCCCTTCTCAGTTCTCACCATCCTTCACGTCGACTTTTATTATTTATATATAATTATATATTCGGCTTAATTGAAACGCCAGAAGCTCATCATCCTCTTCTCCTACGCTTCGCTTTTAGGTATTTCCTGCCCCCATGACTGTTGTCTTCTCGCTATTGATGTTATAATCAATTCGAGATCTGTTTAGTTTACCTGCAAATTTCCGGCTTTATCGATCTAATTGTTTCATTATCATGTGTTATCCTCAAAATCGTGTGAAGGGGTGTACTATTAGGGTTTCGTAACTCATGGTTTTATGTATTGCAAGTATATTTCACATATTGTGATCGTAATAGGGGTTTTGCTGGTGCAAGTTATACTCTTGCAAATAGGCAAATAGGGCTTTTGCTTCTTTTTCAAGACTTCAAGTGCTTTTGTCATGGATTTGTTGTTTTACTTTTTTCATAAGAATGTTAGGTTTTTTAGGAAGTCTGGATGTTACAGTGTTACACTATGAGATCATATTCAAGACAACTGACTGAGGTGTGGTGTTCCATTGTATTCATGCTATTGTGCTACTAATGTGACCTAACAGTTATCTCTGTATAAGGAGCACGGGAAACGGGAAACACGAGAAACGTAATTTCTAAAAAATATAGGACATGAAACGTGGTGGAAACGCGTAAATATTATAAAATATAAGGATATATATATATATATATATATATATATATTTCATTTACCCCAATGCCTCAAAGGCTCCCACCTATGGTGGGGTAAGGGGGGTCGGATGTACGCAATCTTACCCCTGTACAAGCACAGAGAGACTGTTTAAGGATATATTTATAAATATTTTTTAATATATGTGCACAACTTTTTCCATATGCACATGTTTTTTTAATACAATTTGTTTAGTAACCAAATAATAAAATCACTCTACATGTTCGAATTTAGATATTATTTCATATTAGTACATAATTAAACATAAAATGTACGGAGTAATACATTTCTAGCAATACATTGCGTTACGAAATGTAACAAGTGTTGCCGCTAAGAAATACCACAAAAATTCACTATAAAAAATTATTTTCCACCACAGAATCTTTTGAAAAAGAAAAAATTGTAATCTGAGGTTTCCGAAACGTAGTGAAACGGGTTTCCAAATTTTTCTTAATTAAGGAAACGGCCCCGAAGCGGGAATTTGAAGTTTCCGAGTTTCCGAAACGCTTCCGAATTTCCGAAACGTGGAAACGTGAGCCATGTAGAGTTTCCGTGCTTCCCTAGCTCTGTAGTAGTTCTGTGACAGGGCTGTTGGGTCATTGTTTGTGTAGACGTGTATACATTTTGTCTACCTAGCCTTCTAGTCAAGTGAACGATCAGTGTTACAATACAATATAAAAAGTTTAAAAGAGCGTTGACTGCTAGCTACTTGCATATTAACATGCTTACTGGTTTGTATTGCATTCTCTAGTAAGAGTGGAAACTCTATATCTTATGTATAAACATTATATATTATCTGTCAAATGATACTTCTAAGATTATTTGGAGCACATCCTGAATTGTTTAACATTAAAGTAATTAATCATGAGCATTCATTGTTTTAATGAATCAATATCTGACAATTTCAGTTTTTTTTATCTCACTCCCATCCCTCTTCAAGTCTGGTTCTCAGTCTTCTGGTTATTTTTTTGTTTTTGTTTGAAGGCAAGAGTTTCTGCGAGAGATGGGGGAGGAATCTGAGTACCGCTGTTTCATAGGTAACTTGTCATGGACAATATCTGACAGAGATCTAAAAGATGAGTTCAGGAAGTTTGGAACTGTTGTTGAGGCAAAGGTAAGGAATACTTTATGAAGTAGTCATCTGTTGAGATCACAACCTTACTATCATGCTTGAGTGACAATCTGTGCTGGTTTCTAGAGTTATCACTTACTGAGCATGTTTGTACTTTTTTATTACCTCTGCCCCCAAAAAAAGAGAAACGAGTAAGTGACATGATTATTAAGAAAAGTGGAATTATGTGGTCGATGTTCCATTTATCCTTTATGAGTTAATTAAGAATAAATTTGAACCACACAATATTACCATGGTATGATGAAAACTTAGCGGGACGTGGCCTTGATTATGAGTTCTTTGATAACATTTGTTGCATAAGGATTATGTTTAGGAGAACGCCCACATTGTTTTCTGGCAGTACATACTACATAGTGCACCCCAATTTTTTTGTACTCTGTATAATTAAGTTCAATGCAGTAGCTTTTTTATATAATAGTACTGTTTTACAACTGAGTATACATTTCGCCAAGTATTTAATTACTGCTATTTGTCCTGGCAAGATCACGATTTTGACTATCATGATTACAATCACATGTTTTTCCTTTGAGTGTTATTCTTATTACTCTATTATTCCTATTAAATTTTCCCAAGACTTTATTTCACTCTTATAGTGCTGTTGTGTAGCTGGGTTTTGTGTGCTGTTATATTAAGGTTTTTGCTAACGAAAGATGTGATTTCCATATTATTCAGGTTGTCGTTAACAAGATGGACGGTCGTTCTAAGGGTTTTGGATTTGTTGCATTTGATGAGAAAAAAGCAATGGAGGAGGCTATTGAAAAAATGAATGGAATTGATTTAGATGGTCGTGCAATTACTGTTGACAGAGCACAGCCTCAGGGAAGAGGAGGCTATGATAATGATCGCCCACGTGACCGTGACCGTGGCAGTCGTGATTATGGAGGTGACAGGGGATCGGGTGGGGGAGATTGCTTTAAGTGTGGCAAACCAGGGCACTTTGCCAGGGAATGCCCCTCAGGGGGTGGAGGCGGTAGAGGTGGAAGGTATGGTGGGAGAGATGACAGGTACGGTGGTGGAAGCAGTGGTAGAAGCAGTGGCAGCCATGGACCTGACCGCAATGGAGATAGGTATGGCGGCGGCCGCAGCCGGGATGGTGGAGGAGACCGATATAGCCGTGACCGTAGTGGGCCATATGATCGTCGCAGTGGAGGTTCTAGAGCTGATTAGGTACCATGATACTTTTAATTTGCAAGAATTTTTGTTTTGTTTTAGCTTTTAAGCATCATCATCATTATTACTACTATTATTATTATTATTAATATTATTGCTACATTTATAGTTATTATACTCCATCTGTCTTAAAAACAAGTCTTCAGCAAGTCATACAAGCCTTTACAAGTTGTTATTCACGTCTTATGCCCTTGAAACTTATTTGAATGATTGTTTGGGATACTTATTCACTAAAACTGTTTCGATGGCCCCGCATGACTCTTACGTAAAAATTATAGTTGACTTTTCAAAATGGGCTTTTTTCTCAAAAAATGGTTGAAAAGTTTTATCAGTCTATAGTGATGACGTTTATATATATGCTGATGAACTGTAGGTTAGGAGTTGGAAGAGGCGCTGCCGCAAGTGGATGAAACTGTGACTGCTTGGGAAAATGACAGTATTGTTGATCATCAAAACTTTTCGACTTGTGAAACATGAGACTAATAATCTACACTTCTCTTGTCCGTAAATTGTTGGATAGTATGGTTCTCTTGGGATCTTATGCTTTGCTTACTTTGTACGTTTGAATGTGGTCTTGGTCTTTGAATGCTCTATTTGTGCTGCTGGATTTGCTATGAAATCTCTTGCATGGATGACTTATAATTTGGCCCTGTACAACCTTCAAGCGTTCTTGTGAAACTGTGCGGTTTTTTGTTCCGTTCTTGAAAAATCTGATTCTTAAACAAGTAAATGGGAGTGAACCTGGTAAATATTACTTCCTCCCTTGATTTAATGAGTTCTAAACCTTTTCATTTGCAATATTAATATTGTGAACCTTTTGACAGGCTTACAATTGGCCCCTTTTTTGGATATACATGATTGGCTCTTTTGGTAGTTGGGACTTGGGGTACATTATTAAACGTAATAAAATTGACAAAGCGTTTCGGACAGTGACAACTTCTGAAGTTAATTCAACAGCATTAATAGCTCTCATATTTGTTATTCAAGGACCCTGCTTGAGGAAGATAGATCTTTTGTTCCTTTAATGGTCCATGTTGTCTAGATTCTCTTGAAGAGTTTATTCCATGTCTGAATTTGATCTTTCTTGAAGTTTGTTCTTCATGCCTGGGTTCATCCATTTGGGAAATATTTACTTTCTAGGCCAGGTAATCGTGGAGAATTATTTTCACTTGTTTGTTCCTGACTTGACCAAGTAAACAATCAAGTGCAAATGTGGTAATTGCTTTACCCTTGCCACGAGGAAGGTGATTCTCATGGAAGAGTGTGGGAGTGGTTTCACCAAAGGGTGGAAAGCACATGTGAATACTTTCCATGGAAAAAGCCAAACAACCCATTAGTTTGCCATTCGTTGATCATCATTTCATAAGTTTGGATAGGAAGATGTCTGTGTGCTGCAATATTTTTATAATTTCAGTTCTTTGGCTGCAGATTTTCTCATTCCTCATGTCTAATGTTATACGGAGTATAATAAGTTACTTAGAGGTACTGAAATTTCATTGCGCAACATTTTAGTATATTTAATATTTTAAATAAATGAGTATGTCTTATACCAAGATGGCAAGACTTAGTATATCAAATTACTTGCGGTGTGTCATTAGCTATACAAAAATGGCGCTAACAAAACACTAAACCATCAATGAAAACAACAAACCAACGTTTGATATGTTTCTCAACATTTCGACTTACCACATTGGAATCTCCATATTGGTCTACAGGAGAATTGTAGTAGCCCCCCCTGCAGAAGTTAGACTAGATTGATATGAAGAACTTTTCAGGGAATTTTCATTCAAATATGGGAAAAGTGTCAAATAGGCCTTCTACAAATATGAAAAAGTCAATTAAGCCCCCGAATTCAAAAAACTATCAATTAAACCTACGAACTATAAAAAATGAGGCAAAACAGTTCTTTTAGCATGTAATTAATTAGTTTGAAATTTTAGCATTTTTGAAATTTTAAACTAATCAGATGACAAGCGATTCATAACCCGGTCCTAACCCATAAAGTGTCTTGTAAAAGATCAGAATCAGAAACCGGGGAATTAATCGAAGCGAGATTGTCCGCAATCAATGCCACGAACATACTCTTCCATTGATTGATTAGCCTTCTTTTTTGTATGAGATAACATATGTTTTAACTCCATTGAGCGAGCAAGGTTGGCTGCCATAAATCGAGACTTCAATTTTTGCCAAATAGCACTGGAATTTTTAAGAGTATGAACTTCCATCAATACTTCTCGAGATAACGTAGCAAACAACCAAGCCCGAACAATTTGATCAAGCTTCAACGAATGATAATATTCAGGATTCATTGTAGGAGCCTGATATAAATCATTGGTATAAAGCGGAGGAGCCGGAGAAGATCCATTAATGATGCCCAAGAGACCATTCGCAACCAAAAAAGATTCAAATTGTGTGCGCCATGGGTGGAACTGCCGAAGCGCGCACGGCCGCCGGCGGCGCTGCTAGACTCACCGTGAGAGTCCCCGGAGAACAGAGGAAGCGGCTGGATCGAAGGTGGGGTCGGCGTGCTAGTGAACAACGGTGGGACCCAGGTAGACTGTAGTGGCAAGATCGAAACGTCAGGGTGGAAGAGTTCGGACTGCAGTGGCACTGAAGGAGGGACAGCCTGTTCTGCCGCGCTCAAAACCGGAGCTTCAGATGCAGGTTCCATCGCGGCGGTGTTGCCGGAGGCCGAAGTGGTGGTGGCGGCAGACGTAGATGAGATAGTCATGGGAAAAAAATTGTGTCTAAAATCCTAGTGCTCTTGATATCATGTGAAAATAATGGAAAGGCATACCCAATGTGGTAGCCTCTATGTCATATACTATCGTATATAATAATAGGAGTTGTGAGTACATTAGGAAACTAAATAAATATAGAAACCTAATTAAAGTATTAATTACACTATTATTTTTGTCCAGGTCTACTTTGTATAAAGGACATTTTATAAGTTCGATACTTTTAAGAATATATAGTAAATATTGTATATCAAACTTTAAAACTTAGGTTATTTTTCTTGACCCCAACATCTGCGGCACATTTGTCTTGTGCAGTTGCATATCATTGTGTGCTGGTTTGAAACATATGCATACTTGCATAGTATAATATAAGATAGTTGTGATCTATAAAGTTTTTATTCGGCTACATGAACCATCACTGAATACGATAGTCGGATAGTATATTATTTGGTTCTAGCTGAATGAACCTTGGACATTAATTTTTTGAACTGGTGCCGAATGTAGTTTTATTTATTTATTTATTTTAAACGGCTTATATTATATTAGAGCCCGTTTGGGAGCCCTAAAATCGGCTGTTTTGGCTGATCCTGCTAAAATTTCTGAAGTTCTGGCTGAAGTGGCTGCATTGACTGATTCTGCTGATTTAAGAAACAATTATTTTTAAAATATATTTTAGTAATAAAATAAAGAAAAAATTGTATGTAAAAATAGCTAAAATGATCATCTAAAGTAACTTCATCCAAAACAGCCAGAAAAGTAACTCGAACCTTACTTTTTATGCTTATTACACAACTCAGCGCGCTGTTAGGCCCATAATTTAATAGGCCGGAGCACCCTCGAACCACCCGGATTAGCCCAACAGCAGATAAGAAGGTTCCAGCAACCCAACCTAGCAAAGACCAACTTGACATGGAAAGAACCCAAGCAAGGAAAGAAATAAGGAGGAATGAAGACACTACGGAATTAAATAGATAGGATCCTGCTTCCTTATTAAATCAGATGTAATCAAGGAAAGAATCAAATAAAAAAAGGAAGGGCAAACCATATATAAAGGGGTGTTCGGCCCTATGAGGAAAGGGTTTTTGGGGAGAGCAAAAACACACTTTGTATTCTTACAGACTATTACAAACGAGCAGCACACCTTTGCTCAATTAATATTCAATTGTTATTATTATTTTCTTTGTTCTTGATCTCCTTAGTGTTGATTCTTGGTTGCTCGATTCTCGTATAATCATCATTCTGAGTTTAGCTTAATTCGGTTAAAACACGCACGAAAGTAAAACTTACGTGTTTGGTGAAAAAGTTGGCTGATAAGCCTGATAAGCCGAAAAACCAAACGGCCTCTTAAAATACTTGATTTCAAGTATGTCCCTTCGCCTGATCGGGGGTTTCAACAAGTAGTTTATATGAGAATTGTTGGATGTTATACTATTGGATACGTAGTACTCCCTCCGTCCCGCTATGATTGTCTCGTTTTACCTTTTCGGTCCGTCCCACTAAGATTGTCTCATACCTTATTTGGTAAAGTTTGTGTGGTTCTAAATCATTCCTACTTTATTCTTACTTTATCAATTCAATACAAACCACATAAATCCACTTTTATTAATAACCGTGCTACCTTCTCTTGTCCCAAACTCAGGGGGACGGAGGTAGTATCATATTATAACAAGATGTTTATTTGCCGAATGTAGTTTATATTTTTGGATATTACGTAGTACAGTATATCATAATACAAGTCCCTTCGCCTGATCAGGGTTTCCGTATGCTTTCTGGAAACATATTTAGAAAATAAATTTGACTTTACTGTTTAGACACTGTTTGACACTGTTTAGACATTGTTTGACACTGTTTTGCACTGTTTAGATGTAAGATAACTTTCCATTTAGGGAAATGAGAAGATGATTTTGGGACGACCCAAAAAGATAAGCAAGAAGTTAATAGCGAGACAAAGGGAGTATATGAGAATTGTCTTTCTACTTTTCAAATTGGAAAACATTTTTTGTATTCTATTCTCTAGATTCTACATATAAACCAGAAAATATTTTTTATTTTATTTTTTAAATTTAGAAAAAAAATATGAGTAAGCTTGTCTTCTGTTTTTCGGAAAACAAAAAGCTTTATATTAGTAAATGAGCCACTATAAATCCTCATTTAAGATTAGTTGTGGATTCGGGTTGGGCCACTCGGCCCATGGACCGGCCCGACCCGCTACTGTGCGGGACCGGGACCGGGCCGGTTCTCGGGTCCGGGTCAGGTCTAGGCCCGGGTCTGGGTCGGGCCTAGACCCGGGGGGTCCGGGCTCGGGTCTCACATTTGGCGAATCGGCCCGGGTCCGGTTCATTTTTTTTCCCCGTTTTTTGGGGTTCCACCCGGGTTGAGCTTGATGGTTAGGAGGGGTTTGGGGGGTTTGGGGGGGGGATCAAAAACAAAAAAAAGAACCCAAACTGGAGGCCCGGCCCGGGCCTAGGTCCGACCCGGACCTGGCCCGGCCTGAGTCCACGCCTATTTAAGATGTGTATGTAGTTACGTTGTAGATCAGTAGAGTAAGATGAAGACAATTTTAATGTTAAAAACCAAATAACTAAAATTATTGAATTTCATCGCTACCAATTACTGTGTTGTAAAAACATTGTTGATCAAGATTTAATTCTTCTAAACCTCTCATTGTGGTTAAGAGTATCTGCTCAAGAATTCAACACTACAGAGTCTACAGTTCGTAGTTTGTAATTAGTTTTAGAGTTTCTATTTAGGCTCAAAACATGGTAGACTCTTCTTTGTATGCCCCAAAATCTATGTAGTACAACTATATTTGATTCTATTCCTAAATTAATTTCTACAAATGATAACGAGTATTAAAGGAATACATTTTATTCAAGAGAAATGGTCCTATCTAGGACTAAAAAAAGGTGGTATATACCTAAATAGGAGTTAAATGATTTTAACTCTTAACTAAGACCTAATTTTTCCGTGTCTACCAAATTTGCCCTTGAGTCTTTTATTTTTGCTTCTCACTGCGACCGTGTCAACAAATTCTCATGCAAGGCATCTCGATCTCTTCCAGGGACAAAGAAGCTTGGCCGGCGATGCAATCACGACGGTATGGCGACGCAGCGGCGGCAGTGCGGCGGCCGGACGGCATGGCGACATAGCGGCTGCGAGACTGTGTTCTTTCTTTTGTCCATTGTTTTTTCAGATCTGAACTGATTTCTACCATCATCTCCTCTGATTTCAGATCCGTGTTGTATTTAAAAAAAAAACAAATTGCAGATATAGATTTGAGGAAAATACTACTCCGTATTATGAACCTGCGCTGAAGCTTACACTAAAGTTTTAACTTCTACTAGAAATGTTGCTCCATCCCAGTTTATCTATGTATTAATTTTTTGTAGAAGATGAATTGCTGAAATTCTCAAGTTCTTTTTATTTTGAAGATGAAAATTTAGAGGATGTTTTTGTAATCCTTCGAACCTGTTGGCTATTACTGTATAAAAAGATATTGCTTCGTTTTCTTGTTAATGCTCACTACTCCGTAATAGATTTCCCTTTTGATTGCTCTGGGTATTTCTGTAGTTTTTAACAATGTCATCTTTCTAACATTGACATTGTTAGGACAATTTCATTGACATTGTCATGATAATATCATTTCATTGTCGTCATTATAATGTGGTGTGAGGGAGGTTGACAAACCAGATCCCCATAACATTAACAGTTAACACAATCATTACACGAAAACAACATTGTGATGACATTGTCAATTTCAATGCTGCAAAAACAACACTGTGATGACATTGTCAATTTCAATGCTGCAAAAACAACATTATGATGACATTATCGAGAAG